ATATATGATAGTAGTTTATTGCATTAATTAAAAAAAAAGAAAAAATTGAACTAACTACTTTTCTAGATTTTCCTTCTACAATTGTAAAAGGTTAAAATTAATCTTGTTATTAGAAGTATTTTTTTTAATAGCTATTACATTTGGTATTGTCAAAAATGAGATGTGTACACATTGGTGTTTCTATTACCAGTGTTAAAGTTCAATAAATGACGATAATGTGTTTTGGTTGGTGTAAAAGTAATATCACTATAAAATGTGTCTTTTGTGTGGCCAAAGTTTTTTTTTTATTGCTGCTAAAGGTTTATATTCATCATTTGAAAGGGTTTGCAATATTTAATTTGTCATTGTTACTCATAAAAATTGAAAAACTCAATAATTATGTTAAAGGGTCTGTTCATGTATTGATGTTTTTGTAATAAATTACTGTTAAAAGATATTTTTATGCTTATGTTATCTGCTAAAGGGTATTTTTGTATGCATATATGTATTACAATATTATTATTGAGTTTTGCTAGGATTGAATTGCAATCTGCATGGTCTTATGATGCATCATTGTTAATGGGTGTAATTTATACTTAGTATATGCATCCTTTAAACCTGTATGTATACACACCGTGTTGTCTGGATTAAGGTTAGGTGCAAACAGAATCATGTTAATTTTTGAATTTGTGATTGTAAGTAAACTTAGCAGTTATACTGAGGTAAGGAAGGTTGGAGCTGTAATCTTTTCATAAAAAAGTATATCTTGCTTCTGCTTTATTTAGATGTATTTTTCACATGTTTCTGTAGATATTCTGCATTTAGTTACAAGTTTTAGTTGAACTAGGTCTCTAGCTATGATCTTAAGCGAGGTCAGTGTTGACACATTACTATCTTTACACTGGGCCATTTTGTGATCACTCCTTATTGAAGGTATTACTTATGAGAGGACAGGAAGGTTATCAATATTAGTTAAACTAATGTCCTTTGGTCAAATGAAGATTAGGGTAAGAGTTGCTGAGAGATTTGTGAAGCTTGGAATTGAACTATATTTTAAATACAGTAAAATGTCACACACTTATTCTAAACTTCAGATAAGCAAGAGCTATGAGAACCTCTTGTCAAAGTATCCAGAAAGTATGGAGTAGCTGTTCCAAAAAAGTCCGGTTCACTATGTTCAGGATTAGGGTTTCGTTGAATTTTTTTTTTTTTTGAGATTTGTGAAACTACACATTTATGGAAAGCTTATTGCATGGGGAAATTTAAAACCATTGAATTACATTTTTTCATGTTTATGGTATGGCAGCCATCTTAGATTTCAAAATGGTTGCCTTATCATGTTTTTCAAGGCCTGTCTGCTCAATTTTTCAGCTTTTTGAGCACAATAGGTGATGTTTTAATGGCCTAAGATATATGATTCTTGTTCAACCAAATGTAAATACATTTATTTTTGGCTACCAGGGATCGTTAGAAAAAAATGGCAACATGGTAGCCATCTTGGATGTGAAGATTATAACTATTTACACTTAAGTTGTCATCACATACGAGTTAAGTTATATATGATATTCTGTCTAAGAACTTTAATCAGCTGAATTCAGTAAGAAGGAATTTACAAAGCTTTACTCTACAATTTTGTGTCAGTAATATCTCTAAGAGTGTGACTCCTGTATTGGATGGATATCAAAATGGTCAAATAATAGCCTATATTATTACAAAATCTCAGTTTTTAGTCCATCAGTGACTTGTGTACTGTAAACTGCAGACAAATTATGTGCAAACTGATTTTCAAGTTCAAATGGGGTATGTTACTGCCCACTTTATGTTGTGGAAAGGCTAATTAAAAGTGAGAAGCATCTGAAGAAAATGAGATGAATGGATGCAACTGCATGCTCGAACTAGAAAATGACTATAAATCTATACTGATCTTGAAATTATTTATTTGTTTAGTGATGTATCATTGTAACATCATAATTCATTACAAAAGTACCAACATTTCTTGGTTGTCTTTTGCACTATTAGAAATAACATACAAAAAATGGAAACAACAATGAATCACTTCTCTTACCGATATATGTATATTGTGATAGTCGGGTGAGATATATCGAATGAAAAAACTCTTGGAAAATGTGATTAGATGTCATCATCACTAAAATCATTGGCCGTGTGATTCTCCATGTATGGGTCATTTCCATTCTTATAATGTGTATTGCATAAACAGAGGTCTGTACATTCCAAGTCTTTAGATTTGCAAGTACATCTATGTGATGAATAATTGCCTTTGCATTGGTACCTGACCGTTTAAATGATAGCACTGAGAGCTAGTAGGATGTCTGTTGTTTTAGGCTTGAATTGACCATCTGCATTTTTGTAGAAGCCATTTTCAACAGGATTTAGGAACACTTGCTGAGGTAAACTTTCCTGACTCCTGGCTCTTTAGATGTGTTTTGTGAGTTCGCCCACAGTAGGTGGTAATCTGTTGCTCTCTGCCATGTTCTAACAGAAGAGATACCATTGTAATTCAGGGATATTCCTGATATCAATACCCTTAGGGCAATATGCTGCACATACAGATTCACCTAGAGTAGATATTAAACTCTGTTACCTCAGAAGGTCCACCAAGTGTGCTTATGGTATGAATTATGTTATAATTTGCTTTTGAGTAGATTTTGAACCAGGTGGCTTTGGCTATTTGCCATTGTTATCAGCTCCCGTAAATGCATGAAATGAAGGTAACACCTTTGCCTTAGTGGTCCCAAGAGCTGTTCATATATTTCTTATTTTAATAACACCTAATGTCTTAAGGAACTATTATGAGTATGAAAACATCTGTGTTTGGGGAGAAGATGTGCATCATTAGAATTCCGATGTGATCCAGACACTTGTAGACATATCATCAAAGTATCAGCTTCTTCCTGATTATTATTATCAAAGTGAAGATTCTTTTTGGACTTTGTATGACTGGAGGCTGAGACAATGAACAACTTAGTGGAGACTTTGTTGCAAAGTAACCTGTCAAATTACTGTTTATTTGACCATGGGACAGAAATCAGCTCAAGCTGATGTGTTTGAAGTATGTATTGTCTGCCACTTTGCATTGTATAAGCAACGAATCTGGCTTGTAGGTATCAAAAACAAGAATGATCTCATCATAGCTTCTAGTTAGACAAAGGTCTTTGACAGTCTTCAATGCAAGTGTTTTTGTTGTTAACTTTTGGACGAGCACCAATCCATCTACCACTGCGATTCAATGACCAAATTGAGTTGTGTCATCAAGAGGCTCATGAAGAATTGGATCTCGTGTAATATCTTCAAGAATCTCTGCAGATATATTATCCAGAATGTGGATCAACTTTGATTTGTCAGTAAATGGTAATATTGACTCATCTGGTGTGAAAAGTTCTCTGGGCATCAGAGTGAAATCAAAGTTACCAATTTCTTGTTTCTTGTCAGTATCTTGGCTAGGTATAGTCAATACCATCAGTTGTCCATACAGATCCTTTGTTTCCTTGAGGTCTATGATCTTGTCATGAATTTCTACTGAAACTGTTTTGTTGCCAGAAAGGTACATCATTTGTTTCAATACCTTTTCTCTTTTGCCCCTTCTGTCTACAATAAAGTGTTCTGATTGCCAAAGCATGCTCTTTCCAGTCTTTAGCTTGTTGGTAGCATTTGTATAACAACCACCATGCCAGACTGCTTTGTAATTCTGTAAAGTGTCTTTGGTAATCTGCAGGGCAACTAAGGATGTATATATTCACCATCATATAGATCTGCTCCCTCCTTCACTGTTTCTAACAAATGTTTATAAGAATCCAACTTTGACTGTATGAGTTTGTTTTTGCAGTCTTTTTGGCACAATATACACAACTTCCAATTTGTTGGTAACTGTGTTGTATGTGAATGCCCAAATGCAGGTAAGTTATTCATTATAAACCACTAAACAAAGCCTGAAAGAAAGCAAAATTTTACCATGAGCTAAAAGTAAATAGTTCACCAAATCAGGATTGAATAACTTCAAACTGAAAATTTGACTTCTATCAGACAAACAAGTATATGTTTGTGTGTGTGTTGTTATGAAATACCTTGGTCCATTTTGAATCCTGAAAATACAGTAATCTCAATTTTATTACAACTGAATTATTGACATGATTCTATAATCACGTAGCATGCTGTACATAACCAATGCAGATTAGCACCTGATACTTGTATTCATACACATCACCTGATACTTGTATTCATACACACCACTTGATACTTGTATTCATACATACACTTTTTTCTTAAATGAATTGATAAACAAACATGATATTATACAATAGTTTTATATCTTTCATTCAAACATTATTGTTATAGTGAGTCTTCTGTATTGGTACAACACCAAATATATGAAGACACACTGGCTTATTCATTGGACTAAATGATTCTCAGACATGTTTCATGTGTTGTAAAAGGAACCATATTCTTCCTCTTAGCTCAGTATTAGTTTTTAGTCACTAAATTTCCAGTACTGTATTTCTAGAGTAGATATATTGGGAAATATATGCTATAATAGGTTGCCATTTTGAAATCCAAAATGGCCATCATATCATCAACATGAAAAAATGCAAATAATAGTTTTTAGCTTCCCTATGTAGTAAGCTTTCCAAAAATACATAGTTTTTACAAATCTAAAACAAATGTGATAAAAAAAGATAAGAAAGTGGATTAAAAGACTATCAATAAACTGTTCTTCGTGTTTCTTCTGTACGTTGTGTTAGTCTTTCTTTGCAGTTGTTTCTTATTAAGCTTTACTTAGCAATTCCAGAATCTAATATTTTGCTCTAGTTAGTATTTACCTGATGGCTTAGTGCACCTTGAAATACCACTGTAGGGCATTATTTTAATATATATTACATTTTTTACATTCTAAGTCTCCTGGAATTTCTATTAACAAAGTGTTTGTGAATTTTTGTAATAATTGGGTTTTATATAAAGTACTGAGAGTTTGATATCACCAATTTTTAATTATTGCCTGTTCACAGCATGCACATGCCTTGGAATTATTGAAAGATCACCTACATGAAGGGGCCAGGGCACTAGATGTTGGCTCAGGGAGTGGTTACCTCACAGCTTGCATGGCTCTGATGGTAAGTTATGTAGAAAATATTAGATAATTGGGTTTGTAAGAGATGTTAATTACAAGTTTTTATCATTCAGCTGTTAGCACTTTATTTTGTATTGTTGTAACATTATCTTTCCATATCATTACATGTTCATGTAAAACACAATAAACGACATGTAAAAGATTTAATACAAGAAAGCATAAGTGTTATATCCCATTGTCACTAACCTTAAACAGTTTTGCAATGGACTTGTGTAATTTGTGTGACCTTGAACCACCGTGTAACCATGAAGGTATATATAGTATATTTGTAAAAGTACTTAATGAATGTTTACAAGTCTTTTGTAGACATAGCATTAGAATTTTTGATTAAGTATTTTTAATAAACATTTGTCCATAAATATATGGGGTTAGAGTGTTAACTGCTCCAAGTGCAAAGTGATTTTTATGTTTAGATTAAAAATACTTTTCTTCATCTGAAAATGGTCAAATAACAGGTGATTTTTGGTTATTATTGGTTTTTAGGGGGGGGGTGGGGGTGGCATTTACAAATCATCATCATCATCATGCATTTTTTTGCTCTTTTTCAAAAAAGATACCAACCTCATATCCTTGAAAGACAGATGAGGTCCATGTAAATTTCTCTAATTTAAATTTTTTTTTGACAGAATTAGTTAAAAATCATATTCTCATGCTTAAGTTTATACAGAAATACATACTTTTTTTGTAAACCAAAAATAACTCTTGTCTTTGGAGAATCAAGTCTTATTAAGGTGTAGTATTTTTCAAAATTGTCCCTACAGAAACTCATGATATTGTAGCAGACTACATAAATATATAATTGCCAGTTACTATAAATTTCTGGAGTAAATTATTAGTGTTAGAATAAATTTGTAATTATCATGATCTTTGTGACAGCTGTTTTACAGCTCACTCTTAGCATTCTTCAGGAGTAAAATAATTTATATATATGTGTGTGTGTAATTACAGTAGTTGCTTTTAAATTTACTGTTAGAATTTTATTAGTAAATAAGTTCAAATTCTAACATTGCATTATTTCACTTTTATTTTAATGGAACTGTTCACATGAAATCAGTTTTTTGTAATCTAATATTTTTTCGTGCATATTAAATTGGTTAGGAACTTCAGCTGTATGTTAAAGATATGTTTGGTTTGTCAGTAAAGAAATTATTTTGTAGTTCAAAAGTGTACATTTTACAGTTTATTTTGGACATTACATGTTAAATTAATCCAACATTTCTGTAGTATCATAAGGAACTTAAAATTCACAGTTCAGAATCTTAATTGCATTTACTTTTTCCTTTCCAGACCAGGGGAAAGGTGTTACTGTATTATTATTTTTTCCTCTTACAGTGGAAATACTTAACCAAATTGCATGAAACATAGGAGGTAACATGCTAAATAGGATCGATTTTTGATTAAGAATTTCATATAATTATATTTTTGTGATTTTGTTTGTCATGAAATTTCCTAAATATTGTTGTGAGACATTGTTTTGAAAAATATTAAAAATATTTTCTTTTATCTTAGAACTTAATTTTTTTTATTGTTGATTAAAAAGCTCCTTTTTATATATCCAATCAATTCCAACTTGATTAGTTTCATGAACATATTTCTTTTGAAAGTTTATTTTGACAATTACAGTAGTTACCATGTAAATTGATAAAGACTTATTGGTGACCTAAGACCTCACCTTTCAAAATGTTGTCAAGGTCAGGCTAGGTAACAGAGTTTTGCTAACAGTATTCTTGATCAGAATCAATTTATATCTAATAAATTATAAGTTATTTATGTGCATTGTTTGAATACAAAACTTAAGAATAATATTCAATAAATAAAAGTTTGTGTCATCACAACATTTAACTGTCATTACTGTACTTGTGTTGTAGAAAAAAATTGCCATAACATTTAAACAAATATAATTTAACATTAAAACATTTTCAGGAACAAAAATAATGTCTAAAGAAACTAAAAACTAAAAAAAAAATCCCAGGCCTGTGATTTGTTCCTAAGAGTTCTAAAGTTCTTTTCTGTAGGAGCTACATCTAATCACTTTCTCATTAAACCATAAATTACTTCTTACACCACTTTATTCATGTTACACCAATGAAAATAGTTTATAATCTACTCTTTGCAATGGTATTTAAATTTTACCTTTTGCTATTTTCAAAGCTTTGCTTCATTAGTAATTGCTTAAACTGCATGCTTTGACATAAAACAGTGGGAACAAGTCGCTGTAGTAATAAAACCACTAACAGAGATGAAAAATCACTTAAGAAACAAGGCATGAGTGATTATATTTTCAGTGAATAACAGTTTATTAGCATACACTAAAATATACTTGTGCTGAAAAATTCTAAAAAAAAATAGATACATTGTTTACAGGTGAGACTCTTTGTAGCTGCATAGAAATGAAATTTGTTATATGTTTTTCATTTATCTTTATTACAGAATGAGAAAATATCAATTCCAAAATACGTTTTGAGTTGAAAAGTGTGGAGATACAGTTAGGATTATTATTTCACATAAACTTTGAAATTTCTTATGCAGGTGTACACTCAACTCCTGAAAGATGTTTGCTGGTCTGGAAAGGGTTAAACTCAATAATAATTATAGAAATCTATATGTAAGATATATGTCAAAATGCTATAGTACTTAAGGTTTTATGAGACGTATAATTGGTCTTAATGAACGTTACTTATACTTTATTGATATACTGAAGTAACAGTTTAAAAGAATGTGTTCAGGAAAATAATTTGTTTGCTTAAAGAAATAACTTAATGAAAGTAGTGTAATGAAACAATTTTATATGTAAGACTTGTAATATTTCTAGGTGGGAGAAACAGGCTTGGCTGTAGGCATTGACCACATAGAAGAACTTGTAAATATGTCTGTAGAAAACATCAAAAAAGATAAGCCACAGTTGTTGGAATCTGGACGAATCAAAATGGTTGGTAAGTAAGATTAACTGTATGAAAATGATATTGTGGTAATTTTTTCACTGCATCATTTAACTAATTTACAATTTTCTTGATAATATTCTCTTTCCCATTGTTAAATCCTATCCAGTCAGATTAAAGATTCCTTCTGTACCATTCAGTTAATTAACCCTTTTGCACTGGGTAGATCAAAGTGTGCATGCCACAATCTTTTACAGAGTTACATTCAAAATTTAATTAAACTATTTTATTACCAATGTATACGAATAAACGTGGCATCCAAACTTAGTTAATTATTCAAATTTTAATATGATTTAAGTTTTTAATTTTATAAGGCATTATTTAAAAAAAATTCTCAATCTCCCCAAGTATGAGAATTGTGACATTTGCTCTCTATGTCTCCCCTGTTCTCTAATTTATTTACCAACCCTCCAAAAAATATGGAATTTAATGTAAATTAGTCCTTATAATATAGTTATTACTTAGACAAAGCATATAGCCTTCAATCTTATTTGGTTTCAGAGCCATAAACTAGAAAATTAGACCTCTCCTGCCATGCCTACCTATCACATACTCTCTTTCACAAATTACTGATAGTTATCTCTAACATTTAATACTACATTATTTATAACTAATAGAACGCCAAAGTTTTAATCTATCAAATGACGTATTATATTATTTTGTTTTCTGTATAGAGAATTGTCAATTTCCCTTCCTGTTCAAACTTTACTCTCATGAGAAACACATTGATGAGTTTAGCTGAATTTTTAATGTATCTTATCGCAGAGTTAGAAAGCTGTAGAAATTATTATAGTTATAGGACATTATCTGTTTTTTATGTCTTATTATTCTGTGTTCTTAGGTGCATTATTTATTTAAATAAAAAATTATTTATTGCAGTAGTACCATTATTATAAAAAAAGTAGTTAAGTTTCATTGGCAATCAACAGGAAAAAAAAACCCAGCTAAGTACTAAATTTGTTTATTTTTCATGTATATTCTTTATTTTTTATCATAAAAGTAAGTAAATTAAATGTGAAAATTAGAAACTTATTACATTAGATGAGGTTATATTATGTAAAATATAAAAAGCAGAAACATTTTTCAAAAGATATGCTCACAAGTAGCTCGTGAGTAGCCTGGGTGTTACATAATTCGATAGGGTAACATGCACTACATGTTCACCAATTGATTTACAGTTAGACACAATTCAAAAGGCAATAAAAGCAATAAAATTAAGTATAGATAGATTTATACTGTTACAAGCTTTAAGCTACTTTGGATAAACAGTTGTGGTTTCCTGTTACAAGTTGCAATTCTTGCAGATAGAAAAAAGGGTAATTTAGAATTATTTAGAATGATTTTTTTTTATGGTGATTATGAGGTTGGTAAAATTGACCAACCATGTATTGAGTTATAGTATGGAAAATAACAGATAAAATGTGAAGTTTTTTTGAAAAAAAATTGACGTGCAAACAAAATTTGACAATTTTCAGATGAAGAAAAGCATTTTTGATCTTAACATGAAAATCACTTTACACTTGGAGCTGTCAAAACTTTTGACACCATATAATTAAGGAGAAAGTTTTAGTAAAAATACTTAATTAAAAATTCTGATTTTTTGGCCACAAAAGACTAAAAAAGGTTTACTGAAAGCTTGCTGAATTTCATGGAAATGCAACAAGTACTTTCAGAGTCATAGTATGTAAACCACCATGATTACACGGTGGTTACAGGCTTGTGTAGTATACATGAGCCTGTTGTGATAGGGTTAATAATTTTCATTTTCAAATAACTTTTTTTTTGTCATTCTTTTGATAAGGTTTTTGGACAGAGAAAAAAACTTTCAACCTCCAACTGAAATTGTACTCTGACTGACAGAAGTCCTTCAGATTTCACTTGCTTTACACTAGCTCAGCCATTTTGGACAAACTTGTAACTCTGAAACTATACATACTATAACTTTTAAAGTAGTAAGTGCATATTTATGAAGTTTGGCAAGTTTTAAGCAAACATTATAAATCTTTTTCTATACCAAAAATCATATTTATTAATCATTTTTACTAAAGATTTGTCTGTAAATTTTTGTACTTGGAGTCTAACTAGTTTTAGTGCAAAGTCTTAAGATTAAATATACTTTTTCATTTTCAAATTTCTTTTGCATAATCTCTAGAATCTCCTTAACGAATATCAAAAGATTTTCCAGTATATAAGGTCTGTTATTGTCTCTATCCTATCGCTATACCTGTTCTGTTGATTTGATTGATCTAACCACTAAGAATGACTGTGTATTGTTACAGAGAGTTACACAGTATTTACTCTTACAGGCAAATCTAATACAATTCAAATCTCCCATTCATTTAGTTTTATTGCTTTACTACCACTTAGATTAGCAACAAAATGCACTATTGCAGCAGGAAAGCTTTGTGTAAACACAGCATTGAATTGCCAGTATGCAAGTATGCTCAGCCAAATTACAACATGCTGAGCACAATACCTGCTTGTGCTATTGAGTTTTTTTGTCTAATGTTTTTATCTAACCTAATGAGTTTCTAATTTTTACATTTTAGTTACTTAATAAATAAAAAGCACACATAAAAAAACAAGAAATTTAGTATTTACATGTGGGTCTTGTATTTTTTTGCTCTCAAAGGTAAGTATTTTTTGTAACGGTGTTTTTAATACTTTACATAATTTTTATTTATTTTAAATGTGCAATTAAGGACAAAAAATATTAACATACGATAATAAAATATTCCTAAAACTATTATAGATTAATTGGCTTTCTAACTAAGCTATACATTTGTTAAAACATATCCTTACCTTCATCAAACTGATCATGAGAATGAGCAGTTATCATAAGAAAGCATTAAATTAAAATCTTCACTTTCTGTTGGTTACAAATTATCTAATAGTAAATGTTGGAAAGAATATTCACATTTTTTAAAGACAGCTTGTGGTAGGAGGAGTGTGGCATGCAAGTTGCAGTTTATGGCATATAGCTCATTAAAGCAACAACAATAGAAGCTACAAATGTTATATCTTGATACCAAGTTTATTGACATACATTGATTATAAAATAGATTAATTAAATTTTGAATGTAATAATGTAAAAAGGTTTAGACATGCACACTTGGACCTACCCATATCTAGAGACTTAATGACAGTGTTTATAAGCAAACTTTTAGTGTTGGTATGGGTACTAAAATGATTTTTTTGTTGGCTACATTGAACACCCAAGTTTTTTCACAGTTTCATAGATCCCTGTATTTTTTTTTTTTACTGTAGATATATTGATGACATTGTGGGTGCATTCAGTGGCTACCAAACCAAGTTTGACATTCTTACTGATTTCTTTTCTTAGTTTCACCCCTCAATGAATTTCAGTTGTAAATTTCTGGTACAAATCTTTCATTTGTTGACTTGGACATAAATATTGATAGTGACAAACTCACTATTTATGTCCATTACAAATTCTTATGCTTTTTTGTTCTTTGTCATCTTCCCTTCACTGTATGTTTCATTCTTTATTCACAGTTTTTATTTTATTGTGTCTCTAATGAGGAGGATGATTTCACTTCCAAATCTGAAGAAAAGACCAGTTTCTTCTCTTCACACAGTTTTCCATCTCTCATCATAATGCTCTTTACAAAACCAACAGCATATCTTGAACTCAAACTTTTACTTGCTTGACAGTACATACAAAATGAAATTCTTCCCTAATACTTCCATACCATCTTGCTGTATGTCCAGTGGTAATTAGTAGGGGAGCGTATCTCATCATAGTAGTCGATATGATATGTATTTAGATATTGATGCTGTGATACAATACCTATCTAGATACAGAAGTTTTTACCAATGGTTTGTTACAAAGTTTGACAATCTTGTCTGTAATTTATTATCTATATTACTAACATTGTCTTATTTAAGTACTTCACACTTTACAGTGATTTTTCAAATTCTCAGGTTTGATCAACTAAATGGCAGTTGGTGAGAGAAATAAAATAAAGTTAATATCTGTCTATTTTGTTATTGATAACTTGTTACTTTGCATGTAATGTTTTTGATAAAAGAAATGAAGACAACACGTAGTATTCAATACTCATCTTCTTTTATTGAATCATTAATTTTTAGCAAAAATACTTTATTAGATATTTTGATTTTTTTCTGTAAAAAAGACAATGTTTACTGATAGCTTGACAAAATTCGTGAAGATACATAAATTGTATCATATCAGACGATGTATCGATACTGTTGTATTATGGCTTCACAATAATTAGTATGATAACAAACAAATTTCACATTTTACAAACTAATTCATCAATTAAACACACATTTACTGAATTATCTGGTTTGATTCAGATTTGACAATAACATTGTTCACTCGGTCACATCTCCAGGATGACTTCCTTGTAAACAATCACTCAGTATGACTTAAGATCATGTGGATAATCGTACTTTGATTGTTGGTCCTAAGGGTTGTTTTCAAATTAAAAGGTCTTTCACTCATCTATCTAAGACTGTCATCTATTTTGTAATTTGTGAACTTTGCAAACTTTTATATATCAATAAATCAGATTGCAAAGTTACAGATTTTGTGAACACAGAAGACATATTATTAATGGTAATATCAATGAGATGCTCTCCCACATTTTTGCAATGAAAAGCACAGTCTGTCACATTTCAAACTAGTTGTCTTAAGATCTGTTCCAGTTGAACATTCCTCCTGTGAATGCAAGGAACAATGCCTTATTTTTATCCTAGGAACTCATTCTCTATCAGGATTAAACAAAAAGAGTTCTTTCATTTTATGCTTTCTTCTGATCATTTTGTATATTTTCTTACTGTTACCTAAGTTTTTTACTGTTCTTTCCCCTTTTCTTTAACTAGTAATTTAGTACCTGTAAACATAATATTTTGTTGTATTTTCTTACCATTATTTTGAAATAGCTTGATATATTTTTCATTCACACACTTTTATTTAATTTTCATAATTTATTATGTATTATTTTGTGTTTTAATGTATTGTATGTTTTTCCTACACAACATTTTTCCAACAATTAATGTACATGATGTGACGTATATGCTCCATTTGTTTATTCTGATATTGTCATTTGAATTTGTTTCTTTTTTTAGCTTTTATAACAATATTGGACAATATCTGCCTTGGCCCAAAGCATTGTCATAATTTCAAAATAAATTTAGTGTTTTCCATCTGCTGTTTTGACAAGTAACATTTCATTTAGTTTTATTGTACTGTCTATGCAGACTTTTTTTTCCAGTTTCTTTAGATTATGAATATACCAATACAGAAAGGTATATTAAGATTGTCACATTTTCCAGCTGCTGGCACTTTTGCTTTCATGCTACCTAACTAGCAGCCTTATATGGAGTAAGATGAACAGGCTATAGTTATGAGCATAATAAGCTAAACATAGTGTGTCTTCAGTGTGAAGCATGTAGTTGTTTCATGCGATTTGGCTGAATATAGAGTAACACAGAAATTATGGAGTAGTGAAATTGTATGGTAGTCATTTATTATCACTGCACTTTTAATATGGACTTATGGGTAAGTAGTTATCTAAAGCTGATATGCAAAGTTTTAAACTTTCCACATACTTGAAAATACTAGTGGAATGCATTCAGTAATATAAAAACAAAAAATTTAAACCACCTGACAAAATACCAAATGGTTAAACTTGTTATCTTGCACTATAATTGCTGGTGTTGAGTTTCATGTGTTGGTTTAGTTACTGTTTCTGATAACAGGCTTCATAAGGTGGGAAGACTAATGGCTTTGTTAGGTTCTCTGCTACATAGACTCTGCAAAAATATTGCAGTGAACTTAGAGATAACATCTTTATGTTTTAAGAATTGAGTTTATTGACATAGATTCATGTACTGAATGTGATATTATTATGATTTAACTAAATATTGTACAGTTGGTGATGGAAGAAAAGGCTATGCAAATGAAGCCCCCTATGATGCAATCCATGTTGGTGCTGCTGCAGCTCAGCTACCAAATGATGTAAGATAATTTAATGTGAAATTTTATTTGTATGTAGTTGACTTCATTCATTGTTTAAAGTCTTGTAATATATATGTACAGAATTAACATCTTCTGAGTCTTTTCTGTAGGAAACAATCCATATGCTGGATTTTGGTTACCAACCGCATTTATTTCATAACAGTTCATTACAAAAACAACATAAATACCACATTTCATAACACTTGAAATTTCTTAAGTTACTAATCTCAGGATATAAATGAGTTCTGTATTAACCCTATCACCACAAGCATCCCTTACTGTGCTTGTCACAAGGTTTTAGTGAATTACATTCAAAATTTAATTAAACTATTTTTTGTTTATGTTATACCAATTAGTATAGCATAAAATTGTAGCTACTAATCCATATTTTAATAATATATAAGTTTAATTTCTTAATTTAATAAGGCAATATTTTAAAAAATCCTGAATTTCCCCTAGTGTGAGAAATGTGACATTTTCTCTAGCCATCTCCTCTTCTATATTTTATTCACTACCCCCTCCAGTAAGTAAGAAATTTAATGTAAATTACTCATTATAAAATCATCATTACCCAGAGAAACCATAATTTTGATACCCTTCAATCCTTGTTTGGTTACTGAGCCATCAAATAGAAAATCAGACCCTTCTTATCACACCCACCTGTCACAGCCTCTCTTTCAGGATTTGTTAATAGTTCTTTATTAGGATTGATATTATATTATGTATAACCAATAGAAAGCCAAGGTTTTCATCTATAACATGACATATTATATTACATTGTTTTCTGAACAGAGAATTGTCAATTTCTCACTCAGTACAAGTTTCATTCCCATGGGAAAGATAAAAACTAGCTTGGATGATATTAGCATGTTAATATTCTAAGTTCTTTAGTGCATTATTTGATTAAATAAAATTATTTAGTGCATTACTACCATTAGTATGAAAAAGTTGGGTTAAGTACTATTATAAGTTGTAAATCACATGGGGAACGTGGAGCTCAAATTACACTATCGAATTACCTTACCCATGAGCTACTCCGAGCTGCTCGCATGCGTGCTTCAGGAAACATTTTTATTATATTATTATTTATTTTACTTAATCTAACCTTAACTAACCTAAGAATATCCCTATTTTTACATTTTAGTTACTTTTATAATAAATAAAGAATAAACATGAAAAACAAGAAATAGAGTACTTACCCGAGTCTTCTTTTTTTGCTGTCAATTGTCAATGATACTTAACCCTACTTTTTTATACTAATGGGAGTAATTCACTAAATAATTAAATATTAAAAAATATTACCTTATAAAATTAAGAACTTATATGCTATTAAAATATGGATTATTAGCTATGATTTTATGCTATACAAATTGTTATAACATAAACAAAAAGTAGTTTAATTATAATTTGAATGTAAGTCACTAAAACCTTGTGACATGCGAAGTAAAGGATGGCAGGGAAAAGGGTGAAACTAGTACAAAGAGGTCAAATGGTCAGGCAAATTGACTTAGCCTGTTTTGAGTGAGTTAATAAATTTTCAGCATTTCATTAAGTATGAAATAGTAATTGTGTACAATAACATTTTCTGAATAGTACTATCACAAGAAAAAAAAAAAATCTTGACCTTGGACCTGCTTAAATACCTGATTTGATGAGGATCTGCATTAGTAAGTCAAACTTTATTTCGAAGCTATTGCAAGCTACATCTAAAGTGAATTATTACCCATCTCTTTAAACATCCTTCAATAAGTTTATTTTTAGTCTTGTATGCTTTAAAATAGCTACTATTTTTATGTCAACTAAGAAAAATCACAAAAACACACTTGGACAACTGATTCCAGTGGTTTTCTATTTCATAACAATTATTCTCCCAAATACACAGATGTTATTGATCAATATTTCTTGGTATTAAATACTAATTTAAGAATATTTGAAAAATTTTACTTGCCTTTTGCTGTTTGCATAGTTACAACACAGTGAAGAGTTATGCTAAAGTCTTAATGCACGCAAGTATGCAGAGAGGGTTCGGCCAAATTCATCATTTTTGTGATGTAAAAAAATTATGCTTATATAGTTATAGTGCAGCTGTTTATGATATTTAAAGTCTTCTACAGAGTTTACATTCTTCTGATGAAACATTGGCATTTTCTGCCTTATTTCTACTGCCAGGTTTTGAAGGCCGGATCCTTTACAGTAGGTGTCTGTGACTTGGTGATAAATTTCAACAATAAACAAAAAGCAAGACAGTCCACTTGTTTTCAAATAATATATTTAAACAACTCAAATGTATATATATGAAAAATAGTTGTATTTTTTTTCTTTCTTTTTTGTCAAAGTCCATACAGACTGGTTCAATTACTTTAAAACACAATTGACAAGACAAATTATTCTTCTCTGCTCTGTTATTACAGTCTAATCAAAAACACCTTAGGTGTGAAAAAAGGTGCAGCCAAGAAAGGATTGAGAATGCAACTTAAAGGAATGAAATCAAAATTGGCATCCAAACTGGTAGCTACTCTGATAGCATTGATAAGAATTTTACAGCAATGCTATCAGAGCAGCTACTAGTTTGGATGCCAATTTTGATTTCATTCCTTTAAGTTGCATTCTCAATCCTTTCTTGGCTGCACCTTTTTTTCACACCTAAGGTGTTTTTGATCAGATATCATGACTTTATGTCAATACACACCAACAAATTACAGCAAGAAAGTAAGTGACATTCGATTGTAACCAACATTAGCCAATAGTAACCAATAATAGCAGCCTCTGTTATTCAGAGCAGACCTGTACTTTACAGAACAAAACAGGTTCTTTAAAATGTATGGTGGTAGTTCTTTTTCTCTACAACAGTGTTAATAACTTCCTTTATAGTAATGCAATGAAAACTAGATCAACAGTTTCTTGTCACCACCTGCATGCTCTTAGTACAGCCATATTAATCATAATTATTAAAGCTATTTGCTTAAGCTAATATAAATGCTCTTTAATTAGGAGAATTTCATACAATTTAGAAAATTTATGCTTAGATATTAGCAGTGAATAATGAATAATGTAGGTGAACCTACAGTGACGGATTAAGGGCAGCTTGGGCCCTGCACAGTAGGAGAAGAAAAGGTCTCCCCCTTCCCATCATAGATATAGTGATCTCCAGTAAATTGGGTCAACTTCTCTATCAAAACCATAATGTTAAGCATATGCACGTGAGAACATTTTAATGATATACATAGCCTTGTAACACTGAAAACAACAGACAAACCATAAACATGTGCAAACATATTTTATTCACTCATGAATGATCATGAAGACAACTTCATTAGAACCTGCATACCTAGCTGTAAAAAGGTAGAATTATCTTTTTCTGGCTTTATTATAAGTGAACTCTTCAATGAGTTTCAAAAAGTCTAGCTTTCAAAGTATGTCACATTCTATGTTCATTATAGACAGACTGTTTAGTTGGTTTTTGACCAATTCTCTTCCTGAGCTCGCTTTTTATCTGTTTCAATTTCGAAAATAATCATTCCCTACTGCAGTCTGATACCATCATAGACAATTATATTTCCAGCACTATCTCAACATTAGGAAATGTGTGGATAAGAGTGTGTCTATGGAGAAAGAGGAACATTTTTAACTCCACTGATTCTGTTGGCTCAGATTGTGTGAATGAATGTCGAAGTTCTGGAATTGCCAGTGTGGAAAACTGGATCAGTTCATATTCTATTTTGGTTTCAAATGATGTTAAAATCAAAATCGACAAGATATTTTGTGGCTTGGCTGATTTCTTGACATGAAAGAGGTGATAATTTGGAAAGGAATCCAAATTTGATGGCAACACCCTTATATGCATTAAGATGGACTTCAATGCAGTGACAAGTTGGTCGACCACAATGAAAAATACTTCAGTTCTGAATTTATCCTTGGGTGATAGTATGGTATCCACTGCATCTCCATCATCATGGTGATGGTTGTGCACACAGATGCACTTTTGAATTGAACTATACTCACTATAACCACGTAGTTCAGCATAGTTCGAAATTGCCAAACATTCTTCTCTGATCATAAACAAGTTTGATAAGGGCATCCAATAAGGACACAGCAACATTGTGATCTAAGCTGGTTTGTTGGAGTGTGAGACTTGTGTGGTGGAATCATTCCAAGAATGTGTGTCAAATAACAATGAAAATACTCAAATCTAGTTCTCCAAGTTTATCAATTATTGATCAAGCTTCATTTCTACATACAGCTTTTTCTCAACATCATTTGCTTGAGAAATCAGCACTTTGCATTTGGGGGTGTAGCCTTTCAAAAGTCTTGAAGTTTCATATCTTGCTAACCACCAAGTTTCAGAAAGTTGTTTGACAACACATAGTCATAAAGGTTTCAGCTTGTTGCAAAGCAATTGCCAGAAATATGTTGATGCAGATAAAATTGTGTATAACATTTGTACCATATCAAAGAATCTTACAACTGTAACGCAACATTCAGCACTGCTTTTTCCAACCAAGTTTAATGAGTGAGCTGCACATGGTATATAAGGTGCATAAGAGTTTCTGTCACAGGTGATAACTTGAACACCACTGTTTTTCACTCATATTGGAAGCATTCTCGTAAGATTGGCTGTGACAATTTTTTATATCAATACTGTTCCCCTCCAAAATGGTCAGTATCATTTCAGCTATGTTTTGGCCACTATGGCCTCACATCGATACAAACTTCAGGAATCTTTCTTCAGGACTAGTTGGTGAAACATAACAAACCACAAAGGTGATTGATTAGAATGTGTGACATCTCGCATTGAATCGATAAACAATGAATAAAATTTTGCAGTTCTAATTTCTCGACAGTTACCTGAAGTATGTTATCACCTATAAGACATACTAGTTCTTCACAAATAGTAGAGGATAGATATGATGTGTGTCCCTTGCCTTTGTTGGCGAAGCACTTGATGTGTTCAGCAATAAATGGGTGATACTCTACTAGAAGTTCCAGTATACCTAGATAGT